GTTCGTAAATTCATTTAAGTGCATTTAGGTGGAAGGTTGACTTAAAATGCAGAGCTAAGGCTGGGCATCTGTATGTCCTGGGCAAGGCTGGAAGACTATGGTCCCCATGGGTTATTCTCTACTGAAAACTTTGATGGCAACACATGCACTTGCCTTATCACCAGATAAATCCTTGTGTGCCGCGGAGTGGGACTGTCTCACCTCTCCCATCCTAGGGGGCAGGCAAAGAAGGGAGGGGGAGGGTATGAAAAGTATAAAGGTAGAGAGTGAGATGAATGGTTGGGAAATGGGAGGGTGACTTCTGCTTGGCTCAGACAGAGTCCTAAAGGGGAACGGAGTCTCCTGAGCCAGCCTCCTCCAAGTGGATGAGCTGGAGGTAAGCCCAGGAGCATCCAGAGAAGGCAGCCAGGATGCTGGGCTCCAGACACATGGGGCCTGGCAGAAGGACCAGGAGATGTTTAACCCCAACAAGAAAAGGCTTGGTTGGGGCTGCGCAGGATGGCTGCCTTTAAGACCCAGGATTCGATTGGTCTCTGTTTGCCCCAAGAGGGAGATTCTAGGAGCAATGGGTTGAAATTGCACTTGGAAGGATTTGGGCTTTATGGCAGGACAAAAATTCCCAACAATGAGAGAGATGTAAGAGGGGAGTGGACTTTCCCTCATAGGAGGTCTCAAGCACAGGTTAGTCAACCAACAAGCATTTATTAAGCACCTACTAAGTACCAGGCATGGTGCCAGATTCCAGGGACAGTAAGGCAGAAGTGACAGTTCCTGTCCTCAAGGTACTCACATTCAATTGGAGACAACATGTAGGCACCCCCCAAAGTGCCTCTGAAATACACACCAGGTCGTTGTTGTGGGGACGGGACTTCATGTCCAAGATGGTTTATGAGCTGTGTCTCAAAGAAGAGGAGGTGAAGAGGGAGGGAATCTTGGCATGGTGGAGAGGGATGATAGCTTGGGAAAACCCATGAACACAAGAGATGAATAGTTGCAGATGAGAAACAGCCAGAAGGCCAGTCTGATTGGAAGGGAGATATGCGAGACAGAAGTGATCTAGAGCCTAGGAGCAGGCAGGAGCCAGACTGGGAAGCTCTTCAACATGAGATGGGGAGCTGGTGCTTTATCCTAGAGGTAGCAGGGGACACTGGAGCTTTGTGAATGGGGCAGTGACTCAGTCAGATATATGATCTAGGAAGATCATCTTTGGGAGCTGCATGGAAGATGCATTGGACTGGGGAGAGACTCAGGTGGGAATGCCCGTTAAGAAGCTACAACAATAGAGTGGGGAAAGGTGAACTGAACTAGGGGTGTAGCTGTGTGAATTGGAGAGGAGAGGAGAGATAGAAGAGATGTTGTGGGGGTAGAAATGACAAAGCTTGACAAAGTGGATGTTTGGGGTGAGTAAGATGAAGAGACAGAGATGACTTTGAGCTTTTGAACCAGGTGACAGAGGATAGTGGTGATGAAGAAAAAATGGAAGTTCGGAAGAAATGGAGGCTTTACAGGAAATAATAATGAAATCTACTTGTCATCCCCTTGCAAGGGACCATTGTTCAGTTTTGGACTGGGCTAGGTCACCACTGAATTCTCTTCCTGACCAGAGTTTCAGTGATTCTGGGTAGGAAGCTATTTCTCAAGGTTCAACACCACGATTAAATCACCAACATGAAGCGGCACAAATTTGTTTTGGAAAGCCATACTATATCATATGTTAAGAGTGAGAGTTGTTCTTATTGCTGGGACTAACCCTGAGGATTTTATTGACAAGGAAAAAACCATGAAAAATTCTTTTTAGAGGCATTATTTGTAGTAACAACCAAATGGAAACAAGCTTTCTGTCCGATGACTGGAGGGATGGCTGACATTGGAGCATGTCATAGGGTTGTAGATTTAGAGCTGGAGGGAGGCTCAGAGGCTGTCAGGTTCAACTCCCTCATCTTACAGTTTGGGAAACAGGCTCAGAGAGGTGGCCACTTGTCCAAAGTCATACAGAGAGCAAACATCTGAGATAGGATTCGAATCAAGGTCTTCCTGACTCCAGGTCTCAGGCTGCCTCTGTATATGAACATAATGGACCATGGCAAATGTCTACTAGTGCACCCTAAGAAATAACCACAATACTTTCCGTGGTATCATTGGTGTGAGCACTGTCCTATCTGTGCAGATCACTGCCCCTCTATGTCTCAGGGAAAGAGAGAAAGGCAGAGAGAGAGAGAGAGGGAGAGAGACAGAGACAGAGACAGACAGACAGACAGAGATCTCAGTGTCCGATCCCTATGGGACAAGATTCTGGAGTGGGGAAAGCCTGTTTGTCACTGCTCAGCACTGCACAAACACATGTTCTAATCACCCTAGGGTGAAGTCCCTTTCCTCAAATGTTGGCTTCCTGTGTTCAGTACGAGTTTGGGCTATAAGGTAGCAGAAATATGACTGATGCCCTGTGGCTTAGAAGATGGACTTGGCCTTCCATTTGTCTTTCTTTGTATCTCTTGTGCTTAGTATAGTGCCTGGCATGCAGTAGGTGCTTAATAAATGCTTGTTGATTTGACTACCCACCTTCTCCACTTCTGCTGGATCTAACCACAAGTGGAATCACAATAAAAATGAGTGATTAAGTGAATGAATAAATGGAACCCTTTATTTCACTCTGATTGACTGTAATCTGTTCCTCTCAGTGCCTGTGACAGATCATTGTCCCTTCTCCAGCCCCGATCTAACTCATTCCTTTCTGTCTCTTGGCTTTCTACCTCCCCAAGAGTCAAACATCAAAGGCATGAGGTTGTGCCTCATGGAATCTGCGTTCGGATTCCACTTCTGAGGTTTACTATGTATGTGACCATGAGCAAATCACTTGGCCTCAGTTTTTCAATCTGTAAAACAAAGGGTTTGGAATAGATGGTTGCTGAGGTCCCTAAAGCACTATCGTGAGATCCTTCCCTCCCCCCTGCCTGTGCCACACCTCCAATTCTTTTGAGTCTCTACCTGTCTCTCTTACTTCAGCATAGAATAAGTTGGCACTTTCCCTAATGAAGCCATATCCCTTTGGGTATCTCCTTGGACCCCGCCCACCTAGAGACTGCCCCTGGGGGGGTGAGGGCAGGACTTCTTCCATCCCCCATTGGCCCACCCTGACCCTCCCCTTTCAGGTGCCACCAGTGTCTTCCCATCAGTACAGCCTAAGGAGCCCAGGCCTCCCTATTGGACCTGCTGATGCACCCCAAGAACCACTGGGCCTTTCCCCCTGCCTGCAGGTGAACGCTCCCATCTGCTGCTTCGTCGATGCCCTTCCACCCTACTTCATCTACCTCTCTACTCGTGCTCCCATCCTTTCCTAATTCCACTGGGAGAACGTACTGTCCATTTGTCCTTCCATCCATCCACAAGCATTTACTTGTGGGCCTACTACGTACTAGGCGCAGAGGATAAGGTACAAAGAATAAAGCCATCACGTGGGGGCCAACAAGTCCATAGCTAAGTCTACACAGAATAAATATGAATATACATTGTTATATAATAATATAAGGTGGCTTGGGAGGGAGGGCGCCAGCAGGTGGGGGGACCAGGCAAGGCTTCACGCGGAATCGGGGCTCGAGCATCTTGAAGGAGGAGGGTGATTCTGTGGGACAGAGGGGAGGAACAGGAGCATTCCAGGCACGGGACCCAGCCAGCGCAAAGACCAGGAGATGAAGCATCTTGGGAAGAACAGGGAGAAGGCCGGGTTGGCTGGATCACAAGGTGAGGGGGAGTAACAACTAATGAGAATGGAGCAAAGGTTGGGGCCTGGTGGAGAAAGGCTTTACAGTGGAGTTCACTTGGAATCCTGGAGGCCCAGGCCTCCCTAGGAGGAGTCAGGAACATTTATTGAGTAGGGAAATGACTCAGTGAGGACTGCATACGAGGACAATCATGCAGCTATCTGCATGGAGAATGGATTGGGGTGGGGAGAGGCGTGAGGCAGGAAGACCAGTGAGGACTCTGGGGTGATGGTCTAGGGCGAGGGGACGTGTTCTTTGGGCTGGTGAGCTTCCTGACATGGCCCAGGTCGTGCCTTGTAGGGGACCCTCTGCCCAGTCTGTAGGGAAGGCCAGCCCTGCCCTTGGACTCTGGGACCGCATCGTCAGAAATTTCTCAGGGTGTGTTGTGTGTGTGTGTGTGTGTGTGTGTGTGTGTGTGTGTGTATGTGTGTGAGAGTGTGTGTGAGTGTGTATATGTGTGTGTATGTGTGTGTGAGAGTATGTGTGTGTATGTGTGTGTATATGTGTGCATGTATATGTGTGTGAGAGTGTGTGTGTGTGTCTGTGCATGTGTGAGATACAGCATAAAGTGCCCCAGATCTGGCCCATGAAAACTTGGGCTCCCATCTGGGTTCTGAGACCTATTAGCTACGTGACCATGAGCTAATCTCTCTGAGCCTATTTCCTCATGTGTAAAGTGAGATGGGGGCGCTAGATGGCACAGTGGATAGAGTCCTGGGCCTGGGGTCAGGAAGACCTGGGTTTGACTCTTACTGGGCAAGTCTCTGAGCCTCAGTTTCCTCATCTGTAAGATGGGGATAATCAAAGCAGCTGGCTCAGCGTGGGATTGTGAGCTCCCCAAGAGAGTGAGCATAAGAAGCTTTGCGGGCCTGAAAGTGCCACCAAATGACGACCTGTTATTAGTAAGAACAGGGACTGGTTGGTGACTTCACTGATAAAGAACCTCCATGAAGAGGAAATGCCTTCCACCAATGCTTGTCATACCTCTCTGCAGCCCAGAGTTTTCTGGGCCACTGAGAGCGTAAGAGACTTGTCCAAGATCACACAGCCAGTCCGTGACAGAGGGGGGACTAACCCAAGTCTCTTCAAGACAGGGTCTCTATACATTCTTATTATTAGAGCAAAACATGAATAATCCCTGTGCTTCTCTCCTTGCGGGGTTGTGGTGGGGAAGCATCTTAAAGCATCCTTGAAATGGGGGTGGTTTCTATCATTGCCTCCCCCATCTCACCATCTCCTTACCTGGCCGATTCTTTCCACTCCATCTCCTCACCGTCATGTTGCAGGGTGTCCATCTCCGTGAAGAGGGTTGGGGTGGGAATGCCATCTTCATCCCCCAGGATGTAACGGAGCCGCTCAGCAGCTGGGGACCCTGAAAGAGAGAAGACAGGTAGCTCGGTGAGTCTGCTATGGTCTCCTGGAGGCAGAGTGTCCTCGGTGTGGGGAGGCTGAGGCCATCTGGTTCTGCCTGAGCAAGAAGAAGAGAGCCCTGGGGGGATGCGACTGTGGGGAGAAGTTTCTCTAAGGCCTCGGCCCACCTGGGCTGACACCTGGCATCAGGAAGAGGAGACTTTTCTGGCTGGGGCCACTGACACCGGGGCTGTGAGGACTGAGGCTGACATCTAGCCACCAAAGAGGCCAGATGGGTTACTGGAGCTCAAGGCTTACCTGCAGGGTAGCGTGTCCTGAGACGCGATGGAGAGGATGGAGTGAGGGCTTCTGGCTTCCCCACAAACCCACCACATTAATGTGTGTCCATGCATCCATTCCCTTTTCCTTCCCTGTTTCTGATGAGGACACCATCATCCTCCCATAATCTCATTTTTGCCTTTTCTCAGTCCCTCACTGCCCCTCCTCCCTGTTTTCATCCTTAGATTCTTCATCTCTCAAGTCATCTGCTCCACTCACCCGCCTCACCCAGGTCATCATCACCTCTTGTCTGGACAATTGTAAGAGCCAATAGTTGGCCTGCCTTCAGTCTCTCTGCTCTCCATTCTGTTCAAGATCTGCCCAAGTAATCTTCCCAAGGCAAAGTCTGACCAAGCCACTGCCCCTGACTGTAGGAGAAAAGAACTCCTTATCTTGGCATTGAAGGCTCCTGACAGGTTCTTCCCTGCCTTGGAGTCATTTCACATCACTCTCCTTCATTCACTTGATGTTCCAGCCAAGGGGGGACTAGTGGCTGTTCCCTAGACAGGCCACCTCTGGCCCTTTGGTGCCCTTTAGTGCTTGTACAGCACCCACAGTGTCTCCCATGCCAGGAGGGGCTCCTTCCTCATCTCCACCTCTTGGAATATTCACTCAAAGGTCAGCTCAGGCAGGATCTGGGAAGCCTTCCTTGGCCAGTCTAGTTAAGGCAGGACTTTGTCTGGGAAGCTTCCTTGGCCAGCCCAGTTATGGTGGGACCTCATCTGGGAAGCCTCCCTTGGCCAGCCCAGTTATGGGGGGACCTCATTTGGGAAGCTTCCTTGGCCAGCCCAATTGTCCACTCTCACTCCCTTCTAAAATTTTCCCAAAGCACTTTGATATCTCCATTGTCTTTGTCACTCTCTACCTTGCATTTCCATAAGACCATAGGATTATACATTTAGTAAAGGAAGAGACCTCAGAAGTTGGCTATAGTCCAGCCCCCCATGGATGAGGAACCTGAGTCTCAGCACTTAGCACATGGCCTGGAACATAGTAGGAAAGACACCGAAGTAGATAGTTCCATATCTGGAATTCAAACTGTGGCACTCTGGCTCCAAATCTAAGGCTCTTTCTCCTACAAACATCATGCATCTCCCTGATAGAATATAAATTCCTAAAAGGCAGAGACTGCTCTGATTTTATCTTTGTATTTCCAGTGTCTAGCACAGTAACTTACACATAGTAGGTGCTTAATAAAAGTCTTTTGACTTGACTTGAATTTTGACCTGTTTCCTACCTTCTTTAAAATGGCAATGGTGGAACCACCCAGCTGCTTGGGAGTGGGTGTCCACTGGATTATTCCAGAATGTCAGAGATGAAGGAACTTCAGAAGTCATCTAATCTCACCTATGGTTACCTGAATGGGGAACTCTTCTACCACATCTCAGACAAGAGCTCAATCCAACCTTTATTTGAAGACCTCCAGGAAAGGGAAACTCATCATGTCTCAAGTCAGCCAATTCCATTTGGGATAGCTCTCATGAGTAGGAGGTGTCTCTTTACCCTGATCCCAAACTTCCTCTCTGTCACTGTGACCCCTTGTCCCTAGTCCTGCCCTCTGGGGTAAAGCAGAGCGAGTCTGATCTTACATATAACAAGACTTCAAATACTGGAAGAGGGCCTTGCTGTCCCCTTCAACTGTATCCTCTTGGTGTGGTATCTAACCTGTACTGTCCTGGTCTCCTCCGAGGCTCTAATTGGTCATGTACTTGCTAAATGCACTGCCCAGAACTGAACACAACACTCTGGATGTGATCTGACCACGGCAGAAGAAGAACAGACTAGTTCTGGACCCAGATCTTAGACCCCTGCATTCCAGTTGGACTAAAGGACTTGGCTTGTGGGGGAGGAGAGGAATGGGGATTTCAGTTGGCTTAGTAACAGACAGGCAGCACCAGCAGGGTGGGAGACTTCAAGCCTCCCTACCAGGGCCCTCTATGACCTTGGGCATATTGTGACTAATGTGAGTGTGCCCTGTTCCCAACCTGCTGGGCTAGTGAGTAAGGAAGAGTCTAAGGACTCTTGTGAAGAACTGGAGATGCCTAGAATGAGACGGAATCTACAGATATCAGTCTAAGAGTCGTTAGGGAATGTGGGCAGAGGTGGCCAAGGAAAGCAAGGCACCCTCCTGGCTCTGGGGCAAAAGGGACGAGCTGACGTCTCTGGTGAGAAGGGGCGGGATGGCCTGAGGTCCCTTCCTGGGCTATTACCTTCTCCCTGGGATATTGGAGCACTGTAGTCTCCGGGGGCTCCCCAGCGCCAAGGTCACGGTCAAACAGCTGCTGCCACTGCCGCAGATGCGTTGCTGTGTGGTGGGCCAACGTCTCTTTCCACCGTTCAGGTTACAACCAATTACCTTTTGTTTCCCAGCCAAGCACCAGGAAGAAGGGGAGGTGGGAAAGGGAGGAAGTGGGGGAGCATCTGTGTGTGGAGGGAGAGGAAGGAGGGAGACGCTTCCATCCCCCCAGAAGGAGAAAGGTTCAGCTGTAGGAGAAGCTGGGCATAACAGGTGCTACATACCCCCAGCGACATGACCTGAGGCCTCCGTGGTGGCAGCAGCCACAGCAGCCGTGGCAGCAGCCGTGGCAGCAGCGGCTCGGGACCTCTGGATGAATTTGCAGAGTCGCTTCATTCTCTCGGTGGGCATCCCTCCGCTCCACAGAACCCTCACCACCTTCCCCCCCTTGGCCATGGTCGGAGAGCCTGGCAGGCTCTTGCCCCTCTGAACCCAGCAAGGGCTGGGCTGGCTCTAAGACTCTGGGCATTCACATTCTTTCTACAGAGCCCTTGGCAGCAGGTGGTCTGGCTAGAGGGCAGCAGACAGGCTGGGGCTGGGTTATCCGGCTTCAGCACACAAGGCAGGGGTGGAATGTTACTTTGGGGCAGAACAGGCTAATCTCCGTTAATGACGCCCAGAGAGGTGCTTCATTGGTTTCTCCCATCCCCAAGACTTTCCCTCACTCACAGATTCGGTAAACTTCTCATTCTCACCCTAGCCCCTAAGGCAAATTACAAACAGAACTAACCAGTCTGCCAGCAAGCCTGGCCCATAGATATCCCTCGGGGGGACACCCATAGGCAGCCAGGACTTTTCATATTTAGGCACTGCTATAACCCCACTCAAGTCAAGTCAACAAGCATTTATTAACTGCCTACTGTGGGCCAGGCACTACATGCAGAAAAGCAAAAAATGATTTCTTCCCTCAAGTTGCTAACAATGTTCTAGTGGAGGAGACAGCTATATATAAACAAGCTATATTCAAGCATTAACCTGTACACACTTAATAAATGCGGTTAATTGATTGACTCAGACTCGTAGTTCTAACTGTGTAGTTACACAGGTGAGTTGCTTGCTTCATCAGAAAGAGAAACCAAATTTCTCAATCCTCATCCCTGAATCAGGGCACTTTGTGATGGAGGATAAGACAGGCATGGGCCTGACCCCTCTCTAGGAAGATCGCCTTCCTTCTTGTCCCTGTGGGGATGGCTTCAAGGCTGATGAAATGATTGCTGAAGGCAAGAGGAGAAAACTTCTCTTCTGGTGTGGGTTTAGAGGCTGGCCAGGAGGGCATGAGCTGGCCTGTTCTGGACGCATTTCGGTGTGAAACCAGGGATAGATGGGAGATGTCTCTGAGTTACAGCGTGACTGTGAGCGTATGTGAGAGTCTGACCAGAAAGAGATTGTCAGCATGGTGACTGTGGTGTGTCAGGGGAACCCAAAGCTCAGAGAGGATCATGGGATGATGAGACCACAGTGTTAGAGCAGGGAAGAAATTCGTCCCCTTCATTTTACAGAGAAGGAGACTGAAGCCCTAGGAGGGCAAGTTACACAAGGGCTCACAGATAGTAAGTGGCAGAAGGAAGGTTTGACTTTGGGTCGTCTGGGGTGGCTTGAGATAAGCAAAGTGGGACTAGGTACAGTGGCCAGAGTGAGCTATGCCCTGGGTGCTAGTGATGCACCCAGTCTGTGCCAGTCTGGAGCGAGTGGCGTTGCAGGCCAAACATTCAGCTGAGCTCCAACAAAACATGTCTAGACCAAGCACCCAAGCTCGCTCCTCATGGCTGATTTAGCAGATGGCCCCAGATGGTAGGCAATATGGCGGCTGCACAGGAAGGTTCATAGCATGAGCAGAACCCCCTTAGAGTCTGCAGTATTGACCCAACTGTCTGATGTCACAGATGTCAAGGAGGCAGCCAATTTATCTAGCAGTTCATAGAACCCCGAATCCACAGTGGCCAGGGACTTTGGAAGTCATCCCAAGCAAGAGTCCCTTCCCTAACCTCATAATAATCATCAATGACACTTCACAAGAGACATTGTGTACCTTGTCTCATTTGATCCTCTCAAGACTCTTGGGAGAGCAGTACTATTTTGCAGATGAAGAAAATGAGCAAGTGGTCTTCCAAACTCTGCTTTACAGACTCTAAGGAAGGGAATCCAGCCCTCATCTGGAGGTAGCCCATACCAGTCTTGAAAAAATCTCATTGTTAGGAAATTTTTCCTGATTTCAGCCTCAATCTACCTTTATCTAAGTCTGTCTGCTTTGCCTAGGTCTGCCCTCAGGGGCTAAACAAATATGATCCGTCTTCCATGTGGCAGCCCTGCAATAGGGGAAGATGTCCCCTCTGAGCCGCTCTTCTCCAGATAAAATAACCACCTCTTTGTCATCCGATCCTCAAATG